TAACTGCAATCTAAAATGAGGGAAAATAAAATTGTGTAAACATTAGACTAGGTTCTAAAATTTTTCTGCCAAGTAATAATTATGCCTGGAACATACCAGTAATGGGAGAGGTGAGTTTGTACAGTGACCAATGTTGAGTTACTTTTATTAATTACTTATTGCTTAGGAGGGAACAGAGGATGGAGTCAAATCTCAGCTTAAAGACACTGCCCAGGAATTTTTGTTCAAACCAGTAAGCAGACAATGCATTTTTTGTGCTTGTGTGTGATTAGAATGTATAACTGTGTATCAGACTTATGGTGAATGGAATCCGTAGTTATTGCAGAAGGAGTTGCACAATGAGTATGAAAATGACGTAGCAGATACGCACAAAAAAGGAGTTGAGCAAAAAGGAGGCCAAATGCCCCTGAAAAAACCTAGACAGGCAGACAATATGCAGATCACAGTCCTCACACAACAAAATCTCAAAATAGCCTGGCTGTACCCAGACACCAACACTGAGATTAAAATACGCTGTCATTCCTTGAACATAATATGGTCTCACTGCATATGAGCCAAGTGGCCCATCAGGCCGAAGCTTATCCCAGCATCTGTAGCATGAAGTGACTAGTAATATTTCTGCTCCCCCCTGGATAAGATGCTAGTCCATTGCAGGGTTACCCCCAGCATTACGGCCGCCAGTACCCATTTATATACCTGGGTAGAGAGAGGCACTGTGAGAGTCAAGTGTCTTGCCCAAGAACACAACACAATGTCCCCAGCTATGGCTTGAACCCAGAGCACTCGATTTAGAGACAAGCATGCTATCTATGAGGTCACTGCATCTCCCAGTTTGAATGTAATATAATTAACATTAATTAATTATAAATAATTATTCTTCTGCATATGGCATGTTTGATTGGTTTGGTCACTGCAATACATATTATATGGAAATTCTTTTTTTGCAGGCTGTTGTTGACCAGGTCAATATTGAAGGGTATTGGAGAACCAAAAAAGACATTTTAATTCCAGGCATTAAAAGAGTTTTAGAGGCTACAACATTCAAAGAGGTAAACTATAGTAATACAAGTATAATGATGAAATCATAAAATCACACTGTGGATGATCCTCCCGAAAAACATCTTAGAACTAATGCTGTGGCTTTCATCTCTTGACATATATGCAGGTATATTAAGTGACCATTATTTATAAATGCTAGTATATTAGTCTTCATAACCCTTAGTGGTCCACAGTTGCCAGCTAACCATCCCCTCCCCCCCGCCAAAAAAAGAAAGAATGAAAATTTCACCCCTAGAGGTGGTTGGTCAATTTTAGCCCCCCTCCCTTAGATTCACTCCTGGGTTTGATTGGTTTTAAAAACAAAAAGTGCTTAATTTGACCAGTGGTTATGAACAACAGAACTTGATATTGTGCCATGTTTTTCCAGTGAGACATACATACAATGACAGTTACTGTTAGAAGTCTGTCTTCACATATTTTCAAACATTTAATAAGGACTTTGTTTGCTCCCTTCCTGACCACTTGTCAAGGGGAACTAAACCTCTGATTACAAGCTTGCAAGTTACCATGTGTTGCACTTATATGTAGACATAAATAATTTCCTTTTAATAGCATCTGGAGCTTAAAAAATAGGTTGGTCTGTTGATCAATTTGATTTCTTCTCTGGCAGCTGCTAGATTTGGCATTTGAGGCAAAAAATAACCTTATGGACCTTGGAATATTTAATGAAGTTGATATGCTCATTGATACAAGCTCAGGTAAACTATGATTACCAAGTGTATTATACTCTCCCTTTGCATTGCTACACTGTATTATGATGTAAACAATTAGTAATAGTAGTTGAACGGAGTGGAATACAATTCAGGGTGTAATTGTGCAAGTAATTTCAAAATCAGACGAGCGCAAAGTCTGAAGTCGATTTGAAATTACGAGCACGATTACTCCCTGAATTGTACAACAGGAGGTCTAATTAATAATATTAATCGTATCTATAACAAATTTCGGAATTAAGGTATCATGGTAGGTGGATTGACAGTGTTTGGAAATCACTCTCTTACACTGGCGCTTTGAAAGAAAACCCAATCAATCTATACATTTTCTGAAAGCTTAATAGTTATAGAGTGTAATCATATGTTTGAAATTTTCTAAAAAAGTCATTGTTGCAGTGATACGATATAAAAAGAAATACCCAGAAACACTGCTTTCCTTAAACTGGTTGACTTCTGCGCATGAATTATCAGAGCGGTGCGATTAACATCGGAAATGTTTTCTCACACATCACCTTCAAAAAGGGTGTCAGCCATTTTTCAGATGTCGTTTGGTTTTTTTTCTACACCCTCCTAAAGTTTTATATTTTCAATGCCAATGTTTCCTTCTACTAAAGAGGCCATAACTTTGAAACAGAAGCGAAATTAAACAAACCCGACACCCTTTTCAAAGGAGGTATCCTGGAACATACCTGCTGATTTTCAGCCAATTCCGTCAGAAGACACATGTAAACAAACTAAAAATGTTCATCCTTATATGCAGTTTTATTTAATTGAGAAAAAGACGAAAAACCTTTCATGGGATTGGTATGATTAGGTGTTAAAAATCCGCTCCATACTTACAGATGTTGGCATGGGTCAGTTTACCACAACAATAGCTTATGACAACTCGAAATGAAACAGACATCTACAATTCTGGCGTGGAAATCTGTCACAGTGAAATCATCTGAGAAGCAACAAACTACCTAGAGCGTTTTTATTCAAACTGCCGTGATTTCTTTTATTTTGAAGAGTTTGTTGGTGGCATTGGTATTATGTTGCTCAAGTTTAGGCTTCTTCGTTCTCCAGACACTTTTTGAAAGCATGCGTCATGAAGCCAAAAGAGAAAATCTTGAGGTCTACATCTGCACTTGACTCTCTTGTTGTGGAAGTTTCGGAATTGCGTCCATTCTCCAGTAATTTCATGTGACTAGCACTTGTTGTAGTTTTTCCTTCAGCTTCATTGGTGGGATTAGTGTCCTTGAGTTTTTGTCATTCTTCTTGGTTACAGTGTGACTGTGGGTCACTCAGAGCCAAAGATCTTGTTTGATGCTGAACCTGTGGGTTCCACCAGATTTTCACCTCTTCAGCTTCTTTGAGGACGAAATGGGCAAGAAGTTTTCTTGCGTTTTCGTCCTGATGCTTGCAATGAAAGAACCAGATCAAGACAAGTTCGTGTGCACAAATGAAACATCTCACCGCAATTCACTTTACACACGACAACTGGCAGTGAATTTTATTTAGAGGTGTCAACAGGCCGTAAGGGGTTAATGGGGTTCAAAAATAGTTTTTCTCTTTATCTTAAAATACTTCTGTCTGCAGACTGCTCCTCTGACCCCAGGACTTAATCATTTGTTCATAGATATTTTACTTATCCATTTGCTGAAAATGTCCCTTCTTCTGCCCTGCAGTCTTTTGCCTCCAAGAACCCTTCCCCCATTCTTTTACGGAGGTTTTTTCCCCTGTATTGCTTAAGGTAAACAATAACCTTGTCAATTTTTGTTGTAGATCACTCCGTGCACCCAAATGGATATGATGTCACATTTCAAGTAAAAGAAAAGAGATTACTCACTAGTAGTACAGGAACTCAAATTGGTAACAATGAAGGCAACATGGTGAGTACAGACTAACCCTGTGATGGACTAGCATCTCTGCATTCAGCTTGAGTAATTCTCTTATTTGCAGCTATGTGGACCACTTGGCCTGAAGCAGACTTAACCGAATGAGCTGAAATCAGAGAAATATTTGTTCTGTTGTCAGTGCTCATGCTTTCTAGCTTGCTTAATGGTAGCACTGACTCAACATTGCATATGGTGATATTTATGTTACCTTCCATATCTCCTGTGC